GTTTTCTTCCTGAAGCGAGCAGTTGCACTTCTAGAAATTTTATCCGAAGCACATAAATCTGGAGGGGCACATCAAAGGGTTGTTTCTCATTGGGAAAACTCACTACCGTAGGGGTTGACCACATGGTTGCCATGCACCCGTAGGCTGGACTCGCAGGAATAGACATGAGTGTGGCCTAGTGGTTAGGAGCAGACTCAGGAGCCAAGGGATACAGGTTGTGATTCTAGTTCCACGAGCATACTACCTCTGTGACCCTGGCAAGTTGCTGAACCTCGCTCATTTTTAGGGAAAAATAAGGAGATAAAATAAGTTAAAAAAATAAGGAGATGCTATAAAATTCAAAAGGTATGAAGAGTGGACAGGTAAGAGGACCTCTCCTTCCTTGTCCCCAGCCACCCAGTACCCCTCTTGGAGGCAGCCCTGGTCTAAGTTGCTTTTGTATGTGTCTTTCCCGGGGTAGTATATCAGCTGTGTGTATGTGTGTGCACGTGTGTGTGAGAGAGAGGGAGGGAGGGAAGTACCAATAAGCTGTCGTATGCTGTTACCCAGGAGGGTCAAGGATAGCACAGTTTCCATCATTTTAAATGCAAGTTTAAATTGAGCATGATCTTCTGACACATAGATTCACACAGTTAAATAATTGGGAATAATTTTGCAAACACTGTGGCCTTGTGCCTTTTCACATCTGTATGCAAGTCAAGATGGTGCCTAGTGGGAGCAAGATACAGTTCCATTGATTTTACCTGGAGAAGAAAATGCAGAGCCAGAACAGCCCCACACATCCTCTCTCATGACCCCAAACAGCCTGGGCTTCCAGGGTGTGTGGCTCTGCCCCAGCCCTGAGAAAGGTGGTGGAAACCCGTCCCTGGGCCACCTGCAGGAGGGCAGTGCCTGTCTGCATGGGCTCAGGTGTGGGCTCACCTGAGCCGCCTGCCCGTCCCAACCCGTACCCGTGATCACAGCTCTTGAGACTGGGAGTCTGCGTCTACACTGAGCCCACATACCGGCTTTACGGGGTGTGGCGCCTCCTCAGTGCACTGTCGGGCGTTCCTTTCCATCTGTACCTTGGCGTGGACGGCCCCAGAGGCGGGCCAGCTGGTGGGGAGCACTCCCCACGACTTTGGGTGGAACGCGGCTCGGCGACTCACTCGGGAAGATCCGTGCACGTTCGTGTGTGCAACTTGCTGGGTCTTCTCCTTATGTAGTAACTTTTTGATTTATGATGGAAAATGGAAAAGGTGGGGAAACAACCTCCCAAAAGTGTCAAATTCACCCAAGTGCCAAGGTTCAGAGCCGCAGTGAGTGCAGTTGTCCTCAGGCCGCGTGCCCAGAGGGCCTTTCAGAGTGCGTGGAGGGTTGAGTGTGATACTCTCGTCCCTCAGCCTGTGCGCGCTCAGCAGATGCTCACACTGTGACAAGCATGGCGTGTGTGGCCTGCTGCTGGGGTAGTCAGCCGCACACCCTTTCCGGTTAAACATGCATACGCACTTCTTTTTCTTTTTTTAACCTTAAACACTTCATAAGTAACAGTTCATGTAATATTTTCACAGAATTTTTGAATGAAATTGTATAGTTAGTAAAGAGGGGACCTTCAATTAGTCAGAATTTCTCCTAAATATTTTCATCTGCAAGAAGAAGAAAATTAAGATTAGAATTAAGTTCAGGTGGGAGAACGAGAAAACAGAAACAAAAAATGAATGTTAGTGGCTCAAGTAAGATAGATGTTTGTTTCTCTCTCGTGTAAAAGTCCAAAGGAATCTCTTCTAGAGATCTTCGGCAGTTCTGCTCCACAAAGCCCTCTGGGATGCAAGCTCCTTTCCATTCACCCAGGGGGTGACCCTTGTCTCCATGGGTAGGGTGGCACCCGAGTTCCAGGGGCGGAGTGGAGGGGGAGAGAAGAAGAAGCGGTGAAGGGTGAGCCCACAGCCCTTCCCCACGCGCACACGGCTTAGCCCACGTGCGGGGAGGGTTCGCTGGTGCTGAGGGTCCGGAGAAGCCGCCATGGGCTCTTGAGTGATGGCGCTGCGTGGGAAGGTGCTGGAGGCTCTCCTCAGGGCGTCAGAGTTTGCTCCTGCGATGGCTGTGAACCGGGTTCTGGTGGTTGGCAGGTTTCTTTAAATGAGCAGATGCAAATAGGAAGTCATGTGAAAGAAGCAGCTTATTTTGCATTCTCAGTGTGAAATGCTCCAAATGGAAACCCTCCCCTGGTGCGGGGGGGGGGGGTGAGGGCGGGTGGGTTGTCTCTGTTGGCCTAACTGCTCTGAAAGGGGACCCTGAGGATCTGAGACCCTTCTCTGGATATCACAGCCGCTCCGAGAAGTCCAGAGAGCAGCTTTTGTGAGGCAATTAGTAGATTCTAGCTGGACTCAGCAGATTTGATGTACGGCGAGTTTTTCTTCTCTGCTCTGTGGTTTAAAATTCGATTTGCGAAGATGAAAGCAGAGCCAAACTGTCACCTACCCAGCCCGTCCTCAGCAGGTGCTCCTATGACGGCCTGCCTGGCCACCAGTGTTGAGCAGCAGCTGAATTCAGAAACCCTGGGAATGCTGACCGAGGGCGTCCCGAGAGGCACGGGCTGGCCGTTGTTTGCCCCGGGTGGTGGTGAAATTTGAAAACCTTTCAGAAGATCTTTCACAGAGAATGTAAACTTTCCGTTCTTTGGGCCTGATGCTGTAGCTGGTCCTTCAGATAAAAAGAACTTCTTTTCTGGTAGGACCAGCTTTTAGATACAATAAAAATTAACAGTGTTCTTTTCTTGCTGCTGTATTTGTGTTTTAATAGCAATTTGCTAGGTGTTCTGTGGACTCAGAGAAACCGGGCTGTGCAGTGAGCCCAGGGCTCGAGCTGTGATCCCCAGACCTCTGGCTGCCCTCCTGGCCCCGCTCTCAGCGGAACCTGCTCTCGCATGCAGCCCCAACTGCTCCTCTCCACTGGCTCCTGTTCTCATGGTGCAGACGTGCCCAAGTGTCTCCCATTGTAAACAGCAGAACATCCCTGTGTGAGCTTCCTGTGGCGGCTGTAAAAGCACCACAAACTGAGTGACCTAAAGCAATGCAAATGTGCTCTCTTACCATCTGGAGGTCAGCAGTATGACATCCAGGTGTTGGCAGGGCCTCTTCCTTTGGAGGCTCCTGGGGAAGACCTGGAGCCTTTCCTTTTCCAGCTTCTGGAGGCGCCGCATTCCTTGACTTGTGTCCCCACATCAGTCTAACCTCTGCTTCCCTTGGCGCATCTCCTTCTCTGAACTGACCCTCTTTAGGACTCTCACGATGACCCCGGGCCTGCTGGATAATCCAGGATGATCTCCCATCACAAGATCCTCAACTTTATCATGTCTACGAAGTCCTTTTTGCCGTATGAGGGCACATGTAGTCACAAGTTCTGGGGGTCAGGGTGTTGACTTCTTTGAGGGGCATTAACACGGAGACTCTCCCCACGCACGCACACCTGCTCTTGCCTTGTCTTCGTAGTCTGGCTTTTCTAAAGCAGCTGCTGTCCTTGTCCTTCTTTCCTTAGTTACCGATGGTGTCTCCCACCGTTGGGGTTCGTGGCCTCTTGTCAGAGCTGATGGACACTTCTTAGTCTGTATTTGACTTGAAGCCCATCGTGTCATGTGCTGCCCCCCTTCACCTCCTCCCTCAGCCTGCTCACCGCCCCTCAGTCCCTCTCGCCAGAACTTCGCCCGGGAATCGGAGTTGCTCTCTACGGTGTCTTCTCTTCTCACATTTACCCTGCTCACCCTCATCACTTCAGGCCGTGTCACCTCCCTCCCAGTTGCTGGCTGATGGCCGTGCATCTCTATCTCCAGCACAGCCCTGTCTTTGAAGCTGCAGGCTGTTTTCCGCTTCCCAGTGGTCAGCTCCACACACTGGCCCACAGGCTGCTTGCTGCTGTCCTGTTTCCACAACCAGGCTGGGTGCTCACCTTCCTTGCAGAGACAACCTGCACGCCCCCCCTCTTTTGCTCCTCCGAATTGCCCAGGCCTTCCAGAGCCATTAAGACCTTACAGCCAGATGCAGGTTGGTCCCTGCGGCCCTCGCCCAGGGGCGGCACCTGCAGCTACTCTAGCCTGGTGACCACATTATGCCAAAGAAATGCCAGTCTCCCTCCTGGCGTCTTCCCGCCACTTCTGGTCTCCTGTAGCCTATGCAGCAACACCGGGTGTCTGCCTCTCCCCAGAGTGTCCCCTACTCTCTCTGCCGTCCCTGGACTCCACCAGACAGCTTCGTGTGCTCCCCGCTGGGCTCCACCTGCGATGCACACTCGGATGCGTGGCGCCTGCTCTTTCCCAGTCTCTTCCCAAGATTATAAATTCCTGGAGGAGCTGGATTTTTCTTTCTGTTTATCCTTTGTATTCCCAGAATGTTCTTGGCCCCTGAATGAATCCTCATTAATGGGGTATCCCAGACAGGAAGCGGGAGTCAGCCTGCACCTCTCTCCTCTCCCCATGGAGCAGCTCCCTGCCTCTAGAGGAGCACTGGCCGATTCACCCGCTTCTCTCAGTCTCCTGACAGCCAGGCACTTGCTGCGAGTTACAGAATCCCACTTCAAACCCACGTAGCCAGCAAAGGAGACGCCGGCGGGCAAGACCGGGAACAGTGGAGGGTGGTCCAGGGCCTCATCCTCGGAGCGCTGTCTAGTCTTGAGAAGGAAGTGCAGGCGCTCCCTTGGGGTGCCGCACACGTGCACAGCTGTGGAATGAGGGTGCCCACGCCCTGTGACCCTGTCCCTGCCTGGGTCCTGCACGAGGCCGTGGGAGGGCGCCTTTCAGTGACTCGCCCTGGAGAGGTGTGGCTGGCATTGAGTGCCTTTGCTGATTAGAATAAAGGAGGCTGATTTCTTTTTAAATGCTTTTAGTAGTTGCTCTTAAGGGCAGGATTTTTACAAAGCGGACCTCGCTGGTGCTGGGGATGAACGGATGAATTGGAGAAAGCCCTTGGGTGAGCTGGGGGACCGGGCGTCCATTGTAACCGATTTAACGATGGCTTTCCCTCCCGCAGCTGCCAGGCCGAAAGTACTGCCCTGGGTACAATGCAGACGTGGGCGACAAGTGGATCTGGCTCAAGTGACCTACCGCCTGCTGCTAAAGCTGCGTCGCAACGATGAAGAAGCTGCCAGTCTGCCCGGCTCTCCTGGACGCCTTTAAAATCAGGGGGAAAGTAAATGATTCAAAACTTGAACAGTAGAAGGAAAGGCCTAGCAAAAAGCAGTCTGCCCTGTAGTGTAGTTAAGGGTGTGGAAGGAAACTGCCGTCCCAAAGCATTTGGAACCTTCTAGCTTGATTTTGGAATGATCCGTAATTATCACTGAAAAAAAGAGAGAAGAGAGTCTGCTGTGAAAGACCAGATAAACTAGAAGAATTTCATTTCCTCCCGGATGGGTCCTGTGTCATGCACATTTTGTACATTGTTCTTCACACCTCAAGAAATAAAAGTTCCTGTGGCACTTCTCTCAGCATACTTCTGTGCACACACACGTGTCACATACGTGCACACATGTGTCATGTACACACACACGTCACATACACGCACATTCATCTACCCTTGTGCTCACTGTTGGCTTTGGTGGGTATGGTTTGATTCACATGTATATTAGGATTGAAGAGTTTTTCTGAAGTATTTATTTTGTTTGTTTTAGCAGCCTAACTGCTACATGAGAGAAAGGGAGAAAAGTGAAGAGAAAATATGAAAAAGAAGAAATTGCCACCGATTTATAGAACAACGTATTTGTTTTAAAAGAAATTTTGGAAGTCTTATTGATGGCCGTCACCATGTGCTCTCGCACGTAATTCTTCCTCTGAAGGGAGATTCCAGCTTCGTGTCAATGGGATAACATGCCAAATCAAAATAATGTACTCTCTTTTTTACCTAAAAATCAAGTTGTCAATCAAAAATGAGTAATGAAAGAGAAAATCACATTTCTTTGTTCACTCCTATTGAAACTTAGAAAACAAAAGTAAAATTGCTTGTCAGCTAATTGTAGAATTCAGCATTTTAAATGTTCAGGAGTTAAAGCTGTAAGCTGTGAATCCTATTAAATTCTGCGTTTTTTACTATAGAGCTTTTTTACTATGGTGTTCAATAGGGTAGCTCCTAGCCACGGGTGACTGTTGAAATTTAAATGAATTAAAATTAAATGCAATTTAAAATTCAGTTCCTCAGTTGTACTGGCCACGGTTCATGTGCTCAGTAGCCACATGGCCAGTGGTTTCAGTATTGGACAGTGCAGAAGGGGACACTGCCCTCCTTGTGGGAAGTCCCGGCAGGCCTCACTGTGGTGGAGCATGCTTTCCCACCCTCCCACTGTCCTTTCTTTCTTACTTTTTTTGGGTTTTAAGGATTGAAAATAAAGTTTCCCAGTAGTTTTCCAGTTGGAGTCCAGATTTAAGTGGCTGAAGTTTTGCATTTCACTAAGAAACAAACTGCTTCCACCGTTCAGTGAAAGTCCAGCTCGGCGTGGGGCCAGTCCTGTAGGGTCTTCTGGTCTGAGCGCCTCACAAACCCATTAAGGAGAGGAGGAAGGGAAAAGAAAGACATCTTTAGTCGTCTTGGCTGCTTCTCACGGCTCGGCTGTGATGAGCTGGCTTTTTGCTTCACTCGACGTTGCCCGGCAGCGTCCTTGGCCGCTGGGCGCTGCTGGGTGGTCAGGCTGCTCTCGGGAGAGTCAGCCCTCTTCACAATGGAAGCGTCAGTTCTGGCCTCGTGCACTCTCTGCACTGATGACTCCTTTGAATTTGCGTCTCAGCCGTGCGCTGTCCGTCCCCTGGCGGAGTGGAAAGTTTGTAGCTTACAGAGCTGAGACAGCTCCTCTGTTTCATTTCTGGGCAGAGACCAGCAAGTATTTAGTGTCCAGGTCTTGTCTCCAAATCGAAGCCCCGAGGAGTTTAGGAGACGCCCCATATCTCCATATTCCAGAACAGTACACGATTTAGTTTCACGAGAATGTACAACCCTTAAAAAAACCCAGGGTTGAAATAAAACTGTGCATTTTTGAATATTCCACGTTGGCCTCTTCAGTGCTTTGAGGCTCAGGAACTAAATATGCTATTGCAACAGTGTGGTTTTATGTTGCAGTGTGCGTTTATGGGCGTGAGAATTTTGTATCGAGGAAAAAATCCTCATTTTTTTCTAAAGTACGTTTCTGTCCTATCCAATTTTGTAATCAAAAGATTGAGCACACTTAGCTCCTTAGAGGGAATTACTGATGTCCACCTTGGCAAAGCAGGGCCTGCCTTGGTGGGCAGCCAGGGGGTCTCCCAGCCTCACGTCGTTCCCCTGCTGCTGACTGGTGTCCACTAAGCGGCCACCTCCCCACAGCAGACAGCCACCTGTGCTGACAAGGTGTGTGGCCAGAACAGCAGGTGGAGAGGCTCGCTTCAAACAGCAGCTGCGCCAGGAGGCTTACGTTGTGTTTTCATCCCAACCCTTGGATTTCAAGGGTTGGCTTCTATGATACAGCGGAAACAAAGGAAGCTCTTGTCTTGCTTCCCAAAGCCCAGTGTGTTTGTCAAAAGCCCACTTTTTGTCAAAAGCCCATTGGCCACTAGTTTGGCGTGGGATCTCTCTGTGTCCTGTTTCCCAGTTCTGGATTGGTGGTTCTGAGCCGCACACACGTCAAAACAAAGAGACGAGCAGCAGCTGCCTTCTTGTAAGAAAGCGCAGGCTCTGCTCACACTGGGTAGAGCTGGAGCGTTTGGGGTTTGGCAGAGTGGGGGCGGAGAGAAAGCGGCAATTACTGTCATACATTTGGGCTTTTTGAAGAAAAGCGTGTGTAGGCAGCAGCCGCTGGCTGGTCAGAGCTGGATGAATGGAAGCATGTGCCTGAGTAATTCTGGGTTTTACATCTGGACAGAAAGAAAAGCTGGGACCTGACGCTTTGCTTAGGAAAATCAGAAGCCAGAAAGCGTTGAGGCTGCAGTCCGCAGTGGACACCCCGTGGCAAGGGTCATCTAGGACTTTGTTTAATTGTCCAAAGGAAAGTGCACTTTTAAGTGACGCCTCGGTGACTCAAAGTGGGAGGTTTCCTCAGGGCAGATGCCTGCCGGCTGTCAGTCCCCCCGGGATGCCTGGTTCTCGTGGACCCCACTGTGCAGGCATCCCCCACTGGGTTCCTTTCCTCCAGGCTGGAGAGCTCCTTATAAACGCCTCCCAGGAGAGCAGAAGACTTTGCGCTGTGGAAGGCTGCCCTCGGCCACAGCGCGGCTGAAATCATTCAAGCAGGCTGACTTAAGGATTCTTTAGCAGGGAGCCAGATGAAACGCAGTCAAATCTTACCTTTAAACACGTAAATAAATTCCATTTGTCCTAACCACTGACTTACGGGTTTTGAAACTTGACTAAAAATTGTGTTAATGAGAATAGTGACACATTTTCACAGGGGCTGCTTCCTTGGTTAACATCGGAAGCTCCCTGCTTAGACCTGAATGCAACGAGCATTTGGGGAAACATTCGGTTTGGTACCATGTGGTTTCGTGGAATAGACTTTTGTTTTTCAGAAGGCACTGCCTAGACACCATGTTACAGATCCCGGCTTTGACTGTTTAGGAAGGCCTTTTCCTCCGGTGTGTTTCTTGTGGAAACAACTTGTCTCATACGGTGAATGAGCCTGGAGTCTCCTGTGTCCCAGGCACCATGCACAGCCTGGACGGAGGGCAGTGAAGAAACAGAAGTACTCCCGCAGCTCAGGAGAGATGCTCAGGCTGCAGCTCAGGAGAGATGCTCAGGCTGCAGCTGGGGTCCTCGTGTAGACGCGTTAGGTGCCGGGGGGCTCAGTGAACCCACCCGTGGGGCGAGCGTGTGGGCTGACAAGGCCCAGGCCTCACCCCCGGGTCGCCCCAACACAGACATGCAGGAGATGAAGCACGAGAGTGTGGCCTTGGACGGCGAGAGAAGGAGCGGGTGCCTGGCTGGGCCGCTGTCCCAGGTGGATGCAGCACAGGACTGACGGTGACACGGCTTCAGAGGCGGTCAGAGAGCCTGGCGGGTAGATACAAGGTGGTGGGAGTTAAGGGAGAAACAGAACAAATAGGAGCAGCGAGCTGGGGTCCTGTTAAACTGTGAGTTTTCTGCGGCGGAGCTCCACTAGGAAGTCACTCCGCCCAAAACAAGTGACTGTAGCACTCCCGTCCCTGGTTGTCAAGCCTCGTTCTGGTTGGGAGCCCAAGTGGAAAGGTGGCTGGGACTCACTGAAGCAAGGAGGTTGTGTTCTCGTCTGCCCGCCCCTCCTGGAAGGGAGGGTCATCATTCCCTCAGACTCGGAAAACGCTCAGGCCGAAGGCAAGTCCGTTTCTTTCTCTGAATGCCGCAGTGCAGAGTCCAACTGGACCCTTTTGTAAACATCTGGGAGCCTGAAGGATTATTTTAATCTCAATTCTCTAGACTACGAAGTGAAGCCAGGGGCCGCGTGGTCATGGTGCCGGCACTTCTTAGGGAAACACCGTCGCGATTGCTGAGCCGCCTCGGGCCGCCCATCCCATCCGCAGCAGGAACAGCAGCAGAGCCCTCCTCTGCCTTCCTCCTGTTTGTAGCGCCGGCTACTCACGTGTTCGCCCTTAGGGAGCCCTTAGGGAGGTCACCCCGCAGGCGTGAGGGAGATGCTGGTGTTTTCATGTGACTTTTGTGCATCTTGCAGATGGTACTGGGGTGATCAGTCCCTGCCCGGGAGCCCAGTCCCCGAGGTTCACCTGGGGCTTGGCAGGCCGTGGCTCAGCAGCTGGGTTCAGGGCCAGGCCTTCCTTTGGGAGCAGGAACCAGTGCCTGCCACGGCCCAGCGTGCGTGTCCGTGGAATAACTTCAGACTCCTACCCTGAAGTCTGGCCTCTTCTCCCGTGTCCTGCCCACTCTCCGTACCCGTCCTGGCCGCTGGCCCACCACCAGCCTGCCGGATTGTCCGAAGTGCTTTTCCCTACAGGACGCAGCACCAGAGCAGAGCCCACTGTGGCGTCTGCCCCTGGGGTTCTGCTGCCCTCCCCACCTTCGGGCCCTGAGCTTGGAGTCAAGGTTGCCCTGGACGAGAGCAGTGTGCACAGAGCTGGGGCAGCAGTGGTATCAAAGCCAGATGTCTGTTGGGCCCTTGATTCAGAGCTGCTGACTGCCCCCTGACTCCAAGAACCCAGCTTATAAGGAGTTGGGTCCCCTGGCCCTGCTCCCACCTTCCCCTACAGCGTGGTCCAGTCTCCTGAAACCCCGGCGGGCCTCATCGCCGAGGCAGCACAAAACAGTGATCCAGACATGATAGCCGCACCCTGGCGGACGTCTCTGGTGCAGCACGGGGTGTCAGGCGACTTGAAATCCTCTCCTCACCTGGTACAGCCCTTCCCTCCGCGTCCTGGGTGCTGTGCTCCAGGAGCTGCCTTTGGAAGAGGGCAGTGGGTCTCGACCCGAGGAGCTGACCAGGTGGTCTTGGTGAAGCCACTCAGAAGCTTGAGTGCCAAGTGCAGGAGAGCATGAAGACTAGTGTTGGGCACAGGCCAGCGGCTTTCTGGTTCTGTCTGCCATCCCGAGGGCTGGCCAGCTGCGCTGGTTCTCAGTCCTCACACACCGGACGCTCTGATGGCCCTCCACCCTTCTCTGGCCCCTTCAGTGCTGCAGAAGGAAGATGGGGTCTGCCCCGCCCCAGCCCCCCACTGTTTCGAGGTTGCTTAGGTCCTCTCTTGGGGCAGTCTCCCATGTATGTGCTGTCTATGGTATTCGTATGCTTGACGTGGAGCTTGCTTTCTTACAGATAAACGTAATAAACTCATTTCTGTTGAAATAAGAAGCAAGAAGACTTGCTACGCGCCGGCCAAAGCTGAAATTAAAACGAATCCCTTCTGCAAACGGGGAACAATCTTGCTGAGGGAATGTAATTTCGATGCAGAGAGAATTCCAGCTGGCTGGAAGTCCCCACTGCAGAGGGTCGGCCGCGTGAGCCGCCTGTCTGAGGCAGCGCTGTCCGCGGCAGGGAGCGATTGGAGCACTAGCGGCTGCGGCTGGGGGCCATGGACCGTCATTTCCAGGATGCGTGGCCCACGGTGTCGGTCAGCTCATCATGACTGCCAACAGCATCGTGCAGTCAGA